TAAAACAAAATTAAAAGTTAAAGTTTAGTTAAAGTGTGTAAACAGCTTTAGTATCCAATGTCACGTAGTGTACACTGTGCAGTTGCATAAATATCGCTCGAGGATCATTCCATGGAAATTTGCAATTCGATCCAGGCTTATGTTTTTTATTTATTTAATGTTAGCCGGCCAGGCAGAGGTTGTTTCACATTGACAGTAGGTGACAGGTAGGTAGTAGGTAAATATAAAACTCGACTAAATTTTGGCGGGAACATTTGATTTCTGTTTTTTTTTTTTTTAGTAGATTAGGGTGACAAAAGAACACACAGTCCACCTAAGGGTAAGTAGATGCTGTGGCCCGTAGACATTCTCGATTGAAATTCACAATGCAAATGTATTATCACTGCTAAGGGATATGATGGAATGCCTCGTTTCCATTAAATAAGGTCCTGTTTTATCGTTTAATTATGAGTTTAAAGAGGATTTTGAAACTATTAATGGAAACTCCGATGTTGATATAAACCATAAGTTATTTTGTCCAACTTGCTTATTTGGATCGGAGACCCTTTTTACTGGAAACGAGGCATTGCATCTTAGTCCTCACGAGTGACAACGCATCTGCATTTTGATTCGTAATCGAGGATTTAGATGTTTATGGGCCACAGCATTCACTTACCTTCAGTTGGACTGTGTGCTCGTTTGTCACTCACATTCTATAAAAAAAAGTAGTTCTTCTGTTACATGATCCCTAACACACGCACAAAAGATATACGTAATAATATTTATATGTTAATTGGAACCAATCTTGATGCGAAGCTCCCATGGGGCCCCTTATATCTAAAATAGCAAGCAGACTTGCGAATATGCTGCAGAGGTGTGGATAGTTATTTTTACATCATATTTTCGTATGGAATTCGTTTGTGGAGAAATGCGACTAATAAACACACGTGAACTGGGACTAAAGTGGTTTTTAACCGACTTAAAAAAGGAGGTGGTATTCAATACGACTGTATGTTTTTTTTAATGTCTCATAACTTTTCTCTGGGTGAACCGATTTTGATGATTCTTTTTATATTTGAAAGCTGGTGCTTCTCATGTGGTCTCATATAAATTTGATCAAGATCTGACCAGTAGTTTTTGAGTTATTCTTAATAATTTGTATTTAATTGACTTCGAATACATTGATGATGTTCTCGTTTTATTTATATAGAGTATTTTTTATTTATATCGAGTATAGTGAAAGAGAATATTGTAAGATGATATGGTTGACGCGATGTTTTCACGATTCGTAACTCATGTGATTTCTGACGTTCTTCAATCGTATTTTAGTTTCCACAAATCTATTCTCACGGTATTCAATAATGATGTTACTATTCACGAATGAATAATGTAATATGTCTTATATTTTTTATGTAATATATTATAATGATTTCTTATGTTTACGCGAACACTACACATTGATTTTTTATAGAATCCTATACCTTTAAACGAGCAATTCTTGTATATATATGCTGATTTTTTTGTGTAGGGATTTCGAGGGATATTAGAGGATAAAATTTTTCCGTGTTTTCAGGCAATAAAAACACTGCTACAATAATAACTAATTCCACTCATGACTTTTTTTTAGTTTTTCTATTCTGTCCATAAGATCAAAAATATTATTTAAGTTTCATCAGTATGTAATTTATAAATGTAATTTCAAAAAAAAAAAAAACGAGCAAAGCTCGTCATCCACGAGCACACAGTCCACCTGATGGTAAGTGGTTGCTGTGACCCATAGACATCTACATCTATCTTTGATTACGAATCAAAATGCAGATGCGTTGTCACCCGTGAGGACTAAGATGGAATGCCTCATTTGCTCGTTTCCAGTAAAAAGTCTCCGGTTCTCTACACTCACCATACGAAACACAGCAGCATTAAGTTACTATTTTACGCTGGTATTCTGTGTGAATAAAACTTTTTTACAGATTATATATCGCATTTAATTTATTTGATTTTAATACTCGACGTTTCGGTTGCTTTCCAGCACCTATGGTCACGGGGGACTGAGGGGATTGACGTTCCGATGTCAATGTTAACCCGGAGTACCTTCAGCTCTTTAATTATTATCTATGGTCCAACCTACGCAGAATGAACTTACTGTGTCTTGAAGTCTTGCAGTGGTATGCTTGGGTTTCGTTTTAATTTTATTTATTACAGGATCCCAAGCCCAAGATGGTAGTAGTAAGTACCCAGCCTCCTTCTCTATTGAAATTGATATGTTTTTTTTTAATTTCCATAGCCTTACGTATCATCCTTGGTAGTAATCGATGTTCTTTAGTCGCGATTAAACGCAATAAAATCCGTAAAAGCAGTTTTATTCAATTATGTAATATAGTGTAACTTCTATACGTAGTACTATTATTTATTCTGTGACTGATTCTGATAGACAGTACCTACATGCGGTTGCCGCGAGCATTATTTATACATAGTATAGTACTTATTTAACTAATTTTAAGTGCCGTTTTCGAAAAATATATATATCTAGAATGGTGAATTACTGTTATACTTATATGACTTAATAAACACACAGTAAGTGATATGTTAAAACCAATATAAAAAATATGATTAATTTACTTCCCTTGTCTATTGTATATTATATTTTAAGGTTTGAATCCCGGGTCGGGTCAAAAAATCAATTATTGAGTTTATCCATCTCAGTAGCTGCCCGGAGTAGGAATTCCCGGTGTCTCACCCCGTGCTTTGGAAAGAGCAAAGGTCCTGCGCCTGATCTCTCTCCGGTCGTGTCGGTTTACCGTCCCATCGGATTATGAGAGTGCACCTGTGCTCGCATACACTTGGGCTAGCCTCCGTTGAGGCAGGCCGCCGTGACCGAAATTCGGTCTGCAGGACATTATTATTATTATATTTTAAGACAATCGTATTTCGGGCGAAAACTGCAGTCACGCGTCGGACTTGTTAAGAACAATTATTTTTTTTTTGGAAAAAATAACAGCTTACAATTATATGTGTTACACAATTAGCTTGGTAGCGATCACTTCATTATAAGGCGTTACGTTGAGTTACAGCCTATATTCGTCCCGATGGCTTATTTACTAATAGTAGACCGAAAAATGGAAGACACGGAAAGTTGGCTTACATGCTCTAGGTCTAACGTGTTAGCCGACTTTCCGTGTCGTCGAACTTTTTAAAATAACGTTTTATACGTGGTAGAGCCATGCTGCAGCTATATTAATTGTATAGTTGTATCACGAATGGGTCGGCTCGACCGGGGAAGGACCACGCTCTCACAGAAAACCAGCGTCAAATAGCAGCTTCATACTGCTGTGTACCGTATGGTGAGTGTAGAGATCCGGAGACCCTTTTTTACTGGAAACGAGGCATTACATCTTAGTCCTCAAGGCTGACAACGCATCTTCATTTTGATTCGCAAACGAGGTTAGATGTAGATGTCTATGGGCCACAGCAACCACTTACCATCAGGTGGACTGTGCGCTTGCTTATCACGCTTTTACTATAAAAAAAACCGCGGGGACAGTTTATTTTAGAGATAAACGGATATCTGTTTGGCCGGATACCGGATATTCGGCCAGTCTTATCGTCGGGTAGCCGGATATCCGGCCGCCGGATATTCTACCAAACATTGCCGTTTGGTGCATCGTGAGAAAAGTAAAGTCAGTGCGAATTGTTCACGATCGTGACCCTAATATTTGATTGGCAGCTAACGCTAAACATTACTCTAATTTATCAAAGTTTGCCAAAATCTATCTCTCAGCACCCAGCGGCAGTGTGTACAGCGAAAGACCTTTCTGAAGCTGGTCTTGTTTATGAAGACAGGCGAAACCTCTTGTTACCTTTCGACGCAGAGAAATTAGTATTTATTCACCATAATTTAGTACCTACGAGTATTACTTACTTGTAACTAAAATTAAAAATTTTAAAAACCTCCGAAACAACAATCAACAAGAGCTGCTGATCTTCAAACGGTTGACAGATTTTCTTGAAACATAGCTAAGAACTCTCTCGACACTCTCACCTTACAAACGAAAAAAACTGAATCAAAATCGTTTCACCCGTTCATGATGAGGTGATGCGACAGTTTTATACGTGGCAGAGCCACGCTGCAACTATATTATGGTTGTAGCACGAATGGGTCTCTCACAGAATACCAACGTAAAGTAGCATCTAATCCGGAGACCCTTTTTTACTGGAAACGAGGCATTCCATCTTAGTCCTCAGGGGTGACAACGCATCTGCGTTTTGATTCTTAATCGAGGATAAATGTAGATGTCTATGGGCCACAGCATCCACTTACCATCAGGTGGACTGTGCGCTTGTTTGTCACCCTTTTTTATATAAAAAACGACGGGTTGCACCCCGGGAGTGCTGGCAGAAGTGAAAGCTTGAATATTAACGTTGTGCATTTTTGATATTTTGGAATGGTTAGGGAATAATTTTGCACGAATTGCTTTAATTATCAGTTTGTGCGACACACGACAATTTATATTACATTCGCGCAAGCGCCCTGCGCCGCCTAAACGAAACAGCGGGCGAGGTATAATTTTCGCCGCGCCGTAGAAAGAGAGAGGGATACTTCCTCTCCTACGCCGTCCGTCTTCTTTCGATCAGGGTCACGTGTCCTGACGCGAGTTTAACATTTTTTACCCATTACGAAAAAGTGTACAACGCCGCTAAAGAAGTTTTCACTTCAAAAATAGTCATACACACAAATACGCACTATAAACATAAAACATATAATACCCCTCTGATTCCTTCGTGAGTGAAAAAGATCGGATCTTTAATATCAACCTTTCTTTTGTTACAGATATAACAACACCAGCCAAAGTAGAAGACTGATTTTTGCACTACATAATACTATGTAGCCGTATTTGACGCTTTAGAATATATTATACATTCCACAAAGCAATGTTTATACACTGACGTAGAATAAAACCACAAACAGCGGTTGTTATGCGCCATCTTGTAGCCGCCATTTTATAGCGCGCGTGAACAACAAAATGGCGACAAGCGCGCCAATTAGTTCGGTTTTGGAGGGAAAAGAGGGAATGGATGAAGCGGAGGAGAAGCTTCTAGAGAAGAATCAGGTGTTGGTAGTACCAATTCGAGCTCCCAGTGAAGATGGACCTGTTTCAGTAAAATCTTCCAAGAAAGGTAAGATTTTAAAGAGTTTTTTTTTGTTTTTATCCCATACTAGGATATTCTACTGTATCGTAGAGGCAGTTTACATACATACATTGCACAAAGAGAAACATCTGAACCTAGGACAATTGCTGGTAGGCCATACAAATACTTGTTCCGTGCGGGATTCGAACCCGCGGCCCTTAGCGCCGTAAGGCATTGCTAAGCAACTGTGTCACGGAGCCGTATTTCTTTTTACTTCTTTTAAAAAACGTCGTTTTTAACGTTTTTAAAGGAAACATACTGTTTTAAATTAATCAGTACGTGAATGGTATAGTGTTTTTTAATCAATATCAATATAGATAAATTTATTTGTGTTTAATCCTTCCACTCCTCTTTATTTAAAAAACCGTTTCCAGTATCTTTCTCTTACCCATAATCGGTTCCTTCGATCCTCCGTCAATCTTTCTCTCTCTACACCTTTGCACTCTTCTTCCTTTTTCAAGAAATCCTTCACCGTAACCGCTGTGCGATTGTGGAACTCCTTACCTCTCCATATTCGTCGTGCTAAATCTCTTCACTCTTTCAAAAGTCTTGTTAAATCGCATTATTTAGAACTCTATTAGATAAATTACTTTACCTTACTCGTACTCTTTTCATTTAATCTATTTTATGATATTTTATATATAACTTTCACTTATCTTTATTTGTATTTTTTATTATTATTTTGTATGCCCCCCTCTATTTTAACTTTTGTTTGTATCATTCCTCTACGCAAAGGTTGTCTGGAAGAAATCACTTTCAGAGTGATAAGACCGCCTATTGTACATACTTTAATTTAGTTTTAACTGTACTTGATGTTTCTGTATTGTGGTCTACAAAAAGGAATAAATAAATAAATAAATTTTGTGTAACACTTATTGAAAGTAATTTTTTTAATAATACCAGTAGTTCGGAATAACCCCCAGTGCTGGGAAGAGCAAGCAAGACCTTTTTACACATACGTGACGTAGATTGTGTAATAAATGACTTGTTTCTTTTTTTAGAATAGGGTTGACAAACGAGTACACAGTTCACCTGATGGTATATGAACTCTGTGGCCCATAGACGTCTACATCTGTATACAACTGCACATGCGTTGTCACCCGTGAGGACTAAGATGGAATGCCTCGTGATCCTAATTCGATCAAGCCTACCTATTGATGCTGCGTCAACATAGCTGTAGCATGGCTCTACTACATAAAATATAATATATTATTGTCGACTAAAAGGCTGGTTTACACGTATTAAGTTGTCAACTCCATTCATCCATTACAGCTAGGGTTGCCACCTTTTTCTTGAACAAATATAGTATTTTTCCCAAAAAGGATGCAAACATGTTGTGTAATTTTGAGAAATTTCGGAGAAAAAAGTACACATTTATTTTTTATCTATATGCGTGTATGTATTCAATACAAATACGAATGTATTTTTCCATATAATGTAATTGTTATTTCTCTTTGCTTTCGCCATCAATGATCTAACCACCTTACTTACTTTTGAAATAATTATTGTAGTCTGAGCAATTTAGATTCATATTTAAATCATTATTATTTTGTTTTTTCATAAAAAATTATTATTATTTTGTTTGTACCCTGGTATTAGTAATAAGTGGTAACATAGTATATAAACATAATATGTGATACAATTAATTTCATTGTACTTAGGTTATATTAGCGGAATGTACAAATTTTTAGATAGTATTTGATTATTTAACTTTTGCTTGCATCCTAATATTTCTATAAATTAAGACGTGGGGATATGGCGCTGACAGCTGATGCACAGGTCTCCTAGTTCGGCTGCAGATGCTATGTTTCCAAGTATATGTACTAATGTAGCTTTATTAAATAATGTTATGCAAATATCGTGATGTACAACCTCTTGGAAATAAAGAACTTATTATATTATTATTATTATAATTAAATTAAATTAATACACCTTTTCTTTCTTCTTTCAGTTTTACATTCATGATGGAAAAAAATATTTCCGTAAAACATACTTGTTCCAGACTTCCAATCACAGTTAATATAACAAAGCTACAGTTGAATTAGTGATAAAAATATAGTATGGAAGATACTACTGCCGAACTTCCGTTTACTTTCGGTTTCTATATGTCACTCTCATATTATGATTTTACGATCTTACAGAACGATATCGTGTAGTGGATGTCCTTACAACGTCACTACACGGTTCTCTTTTAGAATCACAAGTACGTGTGAAGGTAGTTGAACATTTATCTGAACTTTCTATCGACTTAAATGCGGGTAGTTGTATTGAGTTCAGTCGGGAATTTGTGAAGGGTCCATTTAATTGTGTGTTACGTAGCCCCTTTCAATATTCTGTTTTGATTTTATTTTTATGTGTGCTTGTGTATGTGCGTGTTTTTTTATTTTTAAAACATGACAAGGAAGAAGTATAAAAAGTTGCTCTCCGGTAAGTACGAAGTTTTGACAAAATAGAATAAATTATTAACAGTATCTATCTATGTAACGGAATCTTAATGTAATTTTTATCACAGGCATAAAATAAACTTATTACAAGAATCATCAGAGCTCATGATCAATGCGTGTTTTTAAGTTTTTTTTAACTCTCAGGTTATTTTTATTCAATATTGATTAGATTACAAGAGTACAACATATATTTACAATATAATTTTATATACAATAAGTATGAAAACATAGAAACACTATGGTGGCGATCACCTCGTTATTTAGTAGTATATAATTAGTAATAACCCTAATGATTTCTTATATTTACGCGAACACTACATTGATTAAAACTACTTTTACGGATTTTATCGCGTTTTATTTATATTAATTTTATAGTTGGGTGCTCAGATGTAATTGGTGATGGAAAGCACCCGAAACGTCGGGTATTAAAATTAATATAAATAAAACGCGATAAAATCCGTAAAAGTAGTTTTAATCAATAGTAATAACCCTTATCAAACAATTTTTGCTTATAATAGTAATAATTTTAAACTTCTGATAGATATGTTAATACGTAGTAAAGCCACTCTGCAGATATATTATGGTTGTAGCACGATTGGGTCGACTCGACCGGGAAAGGATCACGCTCTCACAGAATACCAGCGTAAAATAGCAGCTTAATACTGCTGTGTTTCACACGCTGAGTGTAGAGATTTGGAGACCCTTTTTACTGAAATCGAGGCATTCCATCTTAATCCTCGCGGGTGACAACGCATCTGCATTTTCATTCATTATCGAGGATAGATGTAGATGTCTATGGGCCACAACAACTATTTACCATCAGGTGAACTGTGTGCTCATTTGTCAACATTCTCCTATAAAAAAAATGTAAGTAGTATGACAATTTTTGCATAGTAATAATTTTAAACTTCTTACAGATATGTCCTACAATTGTCTGATATTTTCTGAAAATTTGAGAAAATGATTGATCTCCACAACTTCTACGCGTAATTAATCTTAACTTGTACCAAAGTACAGGCTTCGTAAATCTGACGGCTCATTATCGGGTGGATGTATAATATTACCTATTTATTAAAAGATTCCCTTTAATATTACTGATTTATATTTACAGCCTTGAGTAGGGCCTCTGGTTCTCTACACTCATCATACGAAACACAGCAGTACTAAGCTGCTATTTTACGCTGGTATTCTGTGAAAGCGTGGTCCTTTCCGATCGAGCCGTGGCTCTACTGTGTGGGGCATTATGGGTTGTAACTTTACATGGTCATTGACTTTATGTTCGTAAACACAAAACTTTGTTAAATAAAATTTGATCTCTAAAGTTAACAGGTAGCCTCTAATTTTTTTTTCAACACAATTTTCTCAAATTACGACTTCGAAATGGTGGCCTTTTCATTAGAACAGCCATTATCCATTCAATTATCGACAAGGCATTTATTTGAAGTGAATTGATTAGTTATTTGTATCGACCGTAGTCTTTATTACGTTAGTTACAAAGTTCAAAATACATAACTTTTATAACTTTCTTTCTTTATATTAATTTAGTAACTAGATTCTACCCGCGGCTACGTCCGCATAGATATTAAACAAAACGAAAAACCTGCAGATCTATATTAGGGGTTTTGGGCAAGTAGTTTAATCGAAAAACTAATTTGAATTAAGTTTTATTTGTTATTATCTTGAAACACTACGTGCGATATGGGAAAAAATAAGATCTATTAAAATTACGTAAAAATCTTTTTTTTTTATGGGGGAGGGGGCAAACGAGCATATGGCTCACCTGATGGTAAGTGACTACCGCCGTCCATGAACAGCCGCAACACCAGGGTCGGGCTCTTAGCTTGAAGGTCCCTAAGTTGCATCGGTCCGGAAAAATCTCTGATGGTAGTCGTTTCCACAAAGAAGTTGTGCGAGGATGAAAACTTCTTTTAAATCGCATACTAGTGGACCGCCAGTCATTCAGGTGGTATGGATGGTATCGCGAGTTTTGTCGCTATATGCTATAGTGAAATTGTGCAATTGATGGTGAAATTATCACTTCATCCTTTAAATACATATGACGGACTTAATGCCATAGGTCATTCTCTCTCAGTCACCCATTAGGCTAAACAGAGATAGACATATAAGGTGCGGTGCGTTATTAATCAATATAGAAAGAATTAGATTTTTTTTATATACAGGGTTATTTTGTAATAACCGACCAAATTTGCAGAGAACGTTCAGAATAAGTAATATAGGCAAATGGTGAAGAAAAATTAATTAAAAAATCTAAAACATTGTGAATCTAAAACATTACATTCGAAGGGTCGACCGGCACGGCAGGCAAACATGTTATTGCCCATAAATCATAATCAATGGGATAATTTCAAATAATCAATTATATTTTATTGAAGTAGGTGTTTAAATTAAATAAATATGTTGTTAATTATATAAACACAGTATTGAAAATAGTACTGTACTTAAGAAATTTTAAAATATCTTGTATTGAGAGACGAATTGATACAGGATATACTATATTTTTTTATATTTATTTTTTATTATTTC